GAGAATAAAATCAACCACTAACAATAACAGCAGAAAGTTTTCCAATAGCTAAATCATGATTTCCGTAACAGCAAAAGCCCTGCAATTCATGTGATAGTCATAGTTAGTCCCAACTGATCATCACAACTAGAAAAACCAGAGCAAAAATTTGACATTGATATCCAATGAGTAGCAGAAGAGACGGAATTATTATCAGGACTGCCACATTGATTCAAGTTATGACAAGATGTTTGAGTTAAAGCATGCAGCATATTGTGGGCTTCACCTCTACATTATGAGAAACAAAAAAAAATAAAATAAAATAAATAAAAAAATAACAACGATAGNCTTAAATCCGTATTACAAAAATAGCACACTGCAAAACAAGGAAAAACAAGAAACAGGGAAAAACAGCAACCTCAGTCTATCAGATACAACAATTAATCTCTACAGTAACCACCATTTCAGAGCTTGCTGAAATTATCAATGTTCAAACCAACCACATATTACATGACCACTTTGAACCAAGCTATGTGTGGAACTTCACCTAGCTAAAGTCAACTGTTTTCCACTTTTGAGAACTTCTCTCCTTAAAATATGAATGGTACATGAGTTCTATAGATAATCATGCAAACACGAACTCGGCCAATTAACAAATGCCAAATAGTATACACAACAGCGCCCATCATCATCAAACAGACAAATCAAAAGATATTCATGAATGAAAAAACAAATGTTGACTAGGAAGTTTTAATTGGAAAGTACAAGTGTTGTAACAGTTGGGGCAGTACAAATTCTTGTATGAGACAGCCTAACCCTTAGGCGAGTTGACTCATTATACTTTTTTAATGAAAATGCATACTTATGATATGCAATGTCATACTTTTGTTTATGTTGTTTATTAGAGAATGATATTTCAATTTGAAAGTATGCATATATGCTGAAAAATTATGGACAAATTTTTAAGCTATGTCAACCAGACGCATGTAATTCTTCCTTTAGCAAACATGCGTGACAAAAGAATAAAATAAAATAAGGATCTACTTCAATTTTCCCAACAATTTCATATGTAGTTATAAATAGATATCCTGGAGCAAGAGGGGGCAACTAGTATCATAAATAAAGGAAACCAACTCCCTTCTCAGACATGATTACAAAATTTCTTCTTTTTTGCCATATAACTACACTTCACCACATTTTCACATATACGCAAAGACATAAATCACAAAAAATCAATACACCGAAATTCACATTGGGAGAATACAGTATGAATTACAATCACACTCGTAAACAAAGCTGAGTGTCAAACAACAAGAAAAGTGTTAGTACCTAGGAAAACATCAAGTAGCGCCCACAATAATGTTGTTGATGGGAATGAAGATCAGCTTTACGAAAAAACCCACAAACCCCATCACCACGAACCCGATGGCCGTCCTAGTCGCCACCTTCGTGAACTCTGCATACCATATTCAGATCATTACATAAAACAAAAAAAAATCAATCAAATTGTGGATTAAAACAACCTAAACACCTCAGTTGTACCTTTGCGATCGGGCTTGTGGCAACGCTTGACCAGGCGAACGCTGTCCTTGGCGAAATCTCTCAACGGATCGAAAACAGAATCCAGAGCATCCATAATTTGTTTCTCTCTCAATATTTGCAGATCTAAAATTATGGGTGATTTTGGGGAAAAAATCAATTGTAGGAATTTATTGTATTGTAGGTAAGTCGGAATTTGAGCGTGTGGGGTTAGGAGATTGGTTGAAGTCAAGAGCGAATGACGCTATGTGAAATTCCTCAATTAGCCCTCAAATGGACCAAATTCTGCTATTGGTACCATTTTGTACCGATTATCGTGATTTGGATCATGCACCGAAAAGGCTGGCGTTTTTTATGCACAAAATCATCTTTTGGTTATGTAATATACGGTTTTGCAATGGAGCCAACAGTTGGCTTCATAGTGGAACCAACCTTCTATATACATTCAATAAATTTATTATATTCATAAAATTATATTACCTAAATAACACTAATATAATTTTATGAATATGATAGGTTTATTTGATGTATATAGAAGGTTCTCCACTATGGAGCCAACTGTTGGTTCCATAACAAAACTGATGTAATATAATTACTAATTTACTACCAAACTATATTTATGTTACTTCAAAATTTTAAATATTTCACAACTTTTTGTTGTATTAATTGGTGTACTGTTAATTAATTTACTTATATTTTTAGCTAATATATAATATATTATGAATACGTTGATTTTAATAGTATTTAATATAGTGGTTGGACAAAAACACTTGTTAGTATCTGATTTAATGCCACATCTTCTTTAATGCTTGGAATAGTTGTTTATATTTATAACCATTTTTTAGCGTATATTTTACACTAATGAGGGATAATATTGTAATATTATTGATATAGCATATAAAATAGTTTGGGTGAACCGGTCTTCTTTAGCTCGAGTAAACCAGTCATAGGAGTTGATGGGATAAATTGGGATAGAATAGCTCGGAGAAGACAATTTGGACACCATATATAATGCGTGATTCATGTAATTCATATTGATACTTCAAAATTGTTTTTTTACTTTTATATTTTTTTTTTATAATATGTATCTAGCTAGATTATTCGAGTCAAGTACTTCAAGTTTAAACTCGTGTACATTTAAACGAGTTGCCATGACTCAACTTGTTTAATAAACAAACAGAAATGCGAGTCCGAGTTCCAATCGCTTTAACTCGGTTCGACTCATTTAATAAACTTTTAAATATAGACCAAAACCTAAAATTCTAACTGAGTTGATTGCGAACACTTCACCTCGACTTGTTTGATAGAGCACCTCGATTAGTTGTTTGACTTTAGCTCGTTTTAATATTTAAGGGAGTTGAGTTCGAGCCTTCACAAGTCGAATCGAACTATTTTACCGGTAGTGATGTTAAACTAAACGAGTCTGGCTTGGCTCGTTAAGGCTCGAGTTCGGCTCGACTCGTTTGATGAACGAGCCGAGCTCGAGCTTATTTGGTTAACGAGCCGAGTTCAGCTCGAAAAGAGAATTTTTATATAATTTTCTATAGTTCGACTCGATAAAGTTCGAAATCGACTCGTTATTAGTGATAAACGAGTCGAGATCGAACTCGATTTTCGACTCGTTTATTTAACGCTCTGCTCGGCTCGAGCTCGTTAAGGGCTCGAGCTCGAGTCAACTCATTTACAGACCTAATTACCGAACGTTCTGTTTGCACGTTTTATAGCCTAGGGTAAAAAAAAATTCTGCGCCCTTGAATGTAAGTTTTAAATGTAGAACAGTATGTTATTTAACTAATTTATGAAATATTATATATGATAATCGTTCAACTTTGTAAACTTTCAAATAATAAGAAGACTTTCATCGGATATCAAATTTCAAAATATACCATGAAAAATCTAAAATAAAATCAACTGATAAAAATATAAAAAAATAAAAAAAAATAAAAAAAAAAAANAAAAAGACACGAAGAATTGCACTAGTGTGCAGGACTCAGCCTAGGAGAAAAAAAAAATAGAAAAATCCAACCGAAGAGCCTGTCGTCCTTATTATCTCGAACTACTTGGTCGAGGCAAACTACTCGACCCTCATCATCATTAGTCGCAACTACTTGGTCTAGTGACACTACTCGATCCTCGGCGGCCAAGGCAGACTGCTCAATCCTTGGTGGCCAAACCAACATCGAAAAAATAAATAAAAATATAGGAGTCCATCTAGTAGCTTTAGACATGCAACGGCTTTCTGCCTAGCGCATCACTTATTGTAAGTGTGAGTCCCGAGAGAGAGTAGGCAAATACAGCTTTCTGCCTAGCGTATTTCGATTTCTCACAGCCGAACAATCTCACAACCAAGAAACCGCACACACAAACACACACACACACAAACAAGAGGTTCCAGTAAGGGAACCTCATCTAGAAACGTCAGTCTCTATGTCACTAGTTTAAATCTTTCATGCAACAAACACAGCATTGAGATCAAAAGGGAAGTTTAAGTTGTTAAAGTGTGAGAACACAAAATGCATATTAATTAAAAATGCTGTTTATACAGAATACAACATTTTAATTCATCCTTTTGAAACAGAGATTCACCAACATAGGGTGAAAAAAGAAATGAAAAAAAAAGCCTATAAGCAATTTCATTACTAATTTATCGTCATAAACTCAAGCCATTCCTCCACTTGTAGCTGTACGGATAATCTGAAACAAAGCTGGAAATAAAGTAAAAAGGGAGGTTAATTTAACACTAGGTAAAATCACTAGACTAAAATGATTGTCATGATAATAGCAGTAGCTGCTGCTATTGTTGGAGAAGATCAGCAGAGAAGATAATTATTAAGTTGTGAAACAAAAGAGCATGAAATGAAATGAAAGAATTTCCCATCAAAAAATAATTTTAGCATTACCGAATCAAAACTAGCACTAGATTCAAACAAATTATCTTGCTGTCCGGAGAAATTACAACCACTTAGAACTTGGGAAATTAAAAAGAAAAAAAGAAATGCATTCAAGTTTGATTTTGCCTTTAATTTACTATTGATACTATACAAGTTTCTACAGGGAGTTTCAGCAATGAACGGAAAAAGATAAGACAACATCAAACCTCAGGGGCTTTTTGCAAATACTTGAATCCTGAAAAGTAGTTCTTGTCATAATCTCTCAAATACTATGTCGCCGAATATATAAAAAACAGTCACATGTATACGCTCACACAATATGAACATTGCATAATACAAGAGATGCTGGAGCATGTTCCAACTTAAAATTCTGGATCTAATTGGGTATTAATCACTACATATTGAATACAAATGGCCTGTTTTATAGTTAAAACAAATAAAACACCTTAGCAGATTTTCTTTCCTTTTTTTTTCCCCCTAAGAGATCAATGTATCTTGTCGAACTATGTCTAGGTAAAACATGATCACAATTAACAATTTGAATGCTAGACTCTGCTCGATAGAAAAAACCAGGCTTTAACTATAAGTTCATTATGGAAACAACTCACATGATCCGATGACAACAAATATGAAGAATCCAAGCAGCAGAGGGCCAACAGGATACGAATTGCCTTTCTTTTTACTTGTTTCAGTAGTTGCACCTCTCTTGACTATGTTCTTCTCAAACTTCATCACCTTCCTATCAGCTAAACGCCTTGATGTTGTCTGAAATATCAACATGTAGCAAACAATCAATAACGGCCACAATCACATTTGATTAACTAAGCATACATCACCAAAAAGTTTACCCAAGCTAATTGTAAAGTACTACTACAATGCATATCTTGACAACTGACATCTAAATCAAACAGATTCTAAAAAATATTTCCACCTAAGGTACAATTTATTCTAATACATCCCTTATTAGGTCTGTCTTCTCGTTTTCCAACAGCTTAGCGCACGCAGAAAGCTCGAGAATTGACATTAAAGAACCTTTATTGTGTCAAGGTTAAACAGCAATTTGAAAGAAAAGAACGAACCCAATTTTCTATTTAAAAAAAAAAAATCACTTTTTATCAAAAATCGTTTCCAGTATATTACTACATTCGCATGTTTTCATCATTCAGATCACAAACAAATTTCAGACAATTCAAGCTCCTGATAGCACAAACAACAAATCCATGGAATAGCCCTTTAATTCTTTAAAACGTAAACCAATCCAATTAGCTGAACCGATTTTTAGCCTATTACATCCTAGTAATACCCAAGATAATTTAAAAAGGAGAAAAAGAAAATAAATCGATGAGATCAGACACGAATGGAGGACGATAAAACTGAAGAACACGGTCACAAATATATTCAAATTCACATTGGGTTTGCTAAATAACAGGGTAAACAAAATAGAAAAGGGATCTTACCATTGTTGGGGAAGGGATTCGCAAGTGTTGATTGAGAAACGGTTGAGAGATTTTGATTTCCTTTTGCAACGCGAATGCTAGATTCTATGGGCTCGAGCTGTTTATGTAGAGTTTGGCGTTCGGCCATAAAGGTGCCGTCAATGTGGTGGGTTGTGGTTGGTTGGTACTTGGTATGAATGTATCCTTGGGTTGACTTTGATTCGGAACACGGTAACTTATTACGTGTTTGTATACAAATATACTGTAACCTGTAACCGATGCACGGATAAATAATATTAAATAATAATTATAAATTAACGATGATAGTAAACAATATTAACTAATAATTATAAATTAAATATAAGGGTAAACAATATTAACTAAAAATTGTAATTAATTTGTGAGTTAATATGTGATATAATTTATCGTATATCAGTTGTAAACAATATAAAATTATCTTGTATAAAATAACATAAAAAATATATGTTTTGAAATATTAAAAATACCTAAAATATTATATAACGTATGTGAAGTATCTAAAATTTTATATATCATTATTGAAAGATGTGAAGTCACCCAAAATATTTCTAAACTATTTTATAAATAAAACATGTAGTCCATGTATCTCCTGTTAGTCAGACCGAGTTATGTTCGTAGACAATTTTGTTCGATTTACAGTTCTAGTCACCCCCCGCCTCCCTCCAAATTTTTTTCTAGATCCGTCCCTGATTTTAAAATTTTTATTACCTTTTGAAGTGAGATTTTATAAATATAGAGCCTGAGATTTTAATGTTCTTCATTATTTCTGTAAAAAAAAATTAAAAATACACACTTAATAGATCTTAGCTGAAATTTTTAAATAATAAAATGAATTAAAGCCCAAAATTTAATGCAACATTTAATGTTGTATGATTTTTTAAAAATAAAAATAAAAAAATAATAAAACTTACTATTTATAGGTTGCATTAAATTCTCTCCTATTTTTTTGCTACTATTTTGTTAAATATTAATTCTTATTATTATTATTATATATATATATATATAGATTCAATTAAAATGATTTTTTTAATTAAGATTAATTTTGAAAGATGTGGTATAATTAATTGTCAATGAAATTTTGAGTTTATATTAAAATAGTATTTATAATAAAATAATTAAAGTTGATTTAATATAAAAATAAGAGAGATGAGGTAAGTGGTGGTTAATTAAAATTATGTGAGTTGATGAATAGTAAATTAGAGTTGATGTAATGTGTATAAATGATTGAATTGTATTATTTAATTATATTGAGAATATTGAAGGTAAGTTAAAGTTGAGTTACGTTTTGAGTATGCGTTGAGTATGGATTCTAAAAAATTATAAACAAACATCTTCTAAGTGATGGGGAAACAAGTAAAAAGAGGGGTACGAACTGAGATAAAATGAATTAATAGAGTGTATTCGTTTGGGATTCCAATTGACATTTTGAAATTTTTGAGATTTGAGATTTTTTAAATTTTCAAATTTAGGAAAATTCTATGAAATCTTAAATGATGTGAGATTTTTTTCGTTTGAAATACCAGCAAATCTTAAAAAGTCTTTAACAAATCATATTCTCAAATAAGTTGAATACATCAGGATTTTGTAAGACTTTTTAAAATTTCAAATGAGTACCTCCAAACTTTCAAAAGTCATAAAAAGTCTAAATTGAATACACAAAGATTTCTAATGTCTTAAAAAGTCATTAGAAATCCTACAAAATTAGTTTCATTGCAAATTTGATCCTTTTTTTTTTCAAAACGATAAATATATTATATAAAAGCGCACCAATGTGCAAAATTACAGCCACTAGCTGAATACAACAGCCAACGGCTGAATAAACTGGGAGGACATGTCAGAAGACCGCCTAGAACCCGACCCTAACAGGGTAAAAAGCTAAAAACACAAAAACCACAACTTACTACCAACACTAAAACACTCCCAAAAGGAGAATGAGAGAAAACGGCCCCAACAGGATAATGCTCACTCATCTCGGGTATCTAGGCCAACGGCCCAGACTAAAAACACGATACCTAATCAACACAACTCGAAAGAACACACAAAAACATAACTAAACAAAACAACTATAAACGACGAAATAAAACAAGCCCTTCCAAAGCGGCAAGACCGAGCTGGACAAGTGGACATCGAGACGACCTAAGGCAAATCCCGCTGCCCAAGAAGATCCCCAAAACTGCCCAAAAAACCTCAAAACGGTTGCCTAACGGAGATGGACCCAAGCACCGGAACTCGCACGCAGCCGACTCGCCCATGGCCACAAACACCCAACTGTCCTAAGAACCGCCGCTAAAACCGAGCCCACTAACACCACTAGCAGAGCTCAGCAGCACCCAGTTCGCTCCCCTGACCTCAACGCCAGAAAATCAGGGAAGAGGGGCAAGACGATGTGGCAGCCCCGACCCCTCCGGCTCAAAAGACGCAAGCCACAAGAGCCAGCCCTGACCCCCATCCCACAACACCACACCCCACCCCAAACCTCCACAACACCAAGAGGCCGTATATCGGAGGGCAGATCCGAATTCAACAAGAAATCGAACCGACCCCTGAAAATCCACAACCACCGGCTTGAGAAGGCGAGACGAAACACCAGCCATGGATGAAGGCCGAGCAGCCATGGGCCGACCGCCGGCGAAGCCTAGCCGCCGCTGAGGAAGGCGAAAATCGAAAGTCCGACGGGCAAGGGCGAGCTGCAAATTTGATCTCAAAATTATAAAAATGGCCATTTAATTTTATTTATTTATTTATTTATTTTGCAATTGTGGTCCCGTTGTTAGTCAAATCGCTAGTATAGAGTTTGATTTGCATCTTGGGATCAAATTTGCAATTTGGTCAATATTGTTGGACCAATTTTGCAACTTTCTTCCAAATATTTATTAATTTTAATAATTACTTCACCAAGTTGTAATTTATTATTTGAGTCTTTCGCTTTCGATAATTTTGAAGATCGCATTGTTTTCTTCACATCATATCATTGTAACGAATATTTCATGAGTTAAATTGCAATTTCGGTCCTATTATATTATAAAGGTTGCAAATTAGGTACCACTGGGGTGACATATAACAATTTTTGTCCTGTAATTTAAAATTTTGCTGCAAATTTTAGTTCCTTGACCTTTAAATTCCCAATTTTGACGATCAAAATGATGGAAATTATAACAAAACTTTATGCTATAGGACTTAAATTGCTAATCAATCATCCCAAATATATAAATTAGGAAGTTTGTCGGCCAAATGAATGAAATTGTAAAAAGAAGGGTACGAACTGAGATAAAATGAATTAATAGCGGTGTATCCATTTGAAATTTCATATGATATTTTGAGAATTTTTTTAAATTTTCAGATTTAGAAGGATTTCTATGAAATCTTAAATCTGGCGGTGAGATTTGGAGTTTGATTTCGTATATGCTTTGTCGTTTGAAATCCCAACAAATCTTAAAAAGTCTTTACAAATCATATTATCAAATAGGTTAAATACATCATGATTTTGTAAGATTTTTTAAAATTTCAAATGAATACCTCCAGACTTTTAAAAGTCTACGTATAAATTGAATACACCAGGATTTTGAATGTCTTAAAAGTTTATAGAAATCCCACAAATTTAGATGTATTGCAAATTTGATCTAAAAATTATAAAAATGGCCCTTTAATTATTTGTATATTTACTGCAATTTTGGTCCCATTATTAGTCAAGTCGCTAGTCAAAATAGAGTTTGATTTGCATCTTTGGATCAAATTGCTATTTGGTCAATATTGTTGGACCAATTTTCAACTTTCTTTCAAATATTTATTAATTTTAATAATTACTTCACCAAGTTGTATTTTGTTATTTGAGCCTTTCGTTTTCGATGAGTTTTGAAGATCTTATTATTTTCTTCATATCATATCATTGTAATAATATCATTTCACGAATTAAATTGCAATTTTGATCCTATTATATTAAAAAAGTAGCAAATTAGGTACCACTGAAGTGACATATAGCAATTCAAGTCCTGTAATTTAAATTTTTGCTGCAAATTTCAGTTCCTTGACCATTGAATTCCCGATTTTGATGGTCGAAATTACTAAAATTACAACAAAACTTTAAATTATAGGATTTAAATTGCTAATAAAAATTTATCCCAAATATATAAATTTGGAATTTTGTCGGCCAAGTGAATGAAATTGCAACAAAATTATAAATTACAGGAGTTAAGATACACGTCACTTTAGTTGGACCTAAATTGCAACCTTCATAATCTAATATAATCAAATTTGCAGTTTAGCCTTATTTCATGTATGTATATTGCATTAAAATTTATAATAAAATCATCATACAGTACTTTCTCCATTCTAAAATAATTTTTAAATACAAAACGCATTGATAATCAATTAGTAATTTATCTATATATTATCAATATTTTTATATCATAATGTTGTAATACATATTATTTTATATTTTTAGTGTATGCAAATTTAGAATTACATTCAGTGTTCTAAAAATTGGATTAGGCACTACACGACACCTAGGCTAAATAATATTTTCCTAAATAACTCTTCTAAGCTCGACCGACTAAGCACCGTTTAGGCGGGCTACACGACTCCTAGGCGCCTATTTATTTTTTAGTTTTTATTTATTTCAAATTATAATAAAATAGGTTTTAATTTTTATACAACATTAATTATAAAATTTAAAAATAATAACTATATATAATTAATATGATATCTCAAAATATACTATATTTTAGATAATCTTTGTATTTGATCATTGTAATGACTGTGTTATATGTAACGTAACCTGTGAATTATTTATGAAAATAAATATAAATAAAATGATTAATATTTTTACGACTCCACCTAGGTCTAGACCAATCCATACCTAAGTATAGGCTCCATCCCACTACTTAGAAAGATCCTAACGACTTATATAACTGTTTGTCCCATTTTTGTTACGTTATTCGTGTCTATTTTCTCTTTCTTTTTCCCCATTTTGAGTCATTTAGATGGTTTTAGGATCATTTTGTCATTTATTATGTGTTTTGCGTTCATTTGAGTGTTTCGATGTTTTCCGTTTGTTTTCCGGTCTTTTTCTGTTCTCTTTTCGTTTTTGGTGTGTAGTTGGAAGACCTCGGGAGAACAGGTTTTCGAGAATCTTGTGGGGAAGCTGACACCATTAGATATAGGAGTTCGTTAGCGACA